ATTCAAATATTCACTTGGATATGCCCCAATATGACTGTGTCCAAAGTAGAAACTTTGATCTTACCCTCAAACTTTGTCATCCCCTAGTTTTCTCCCATACCAATAGTGTACCTCTCATCTTCCCAGTTGCTCAGGAACCCAGCAGTGGGCACGGGACAAGAGTCGTTTATTTCCTTGCTCGTCTCCAACAGCCAAGCCATGACTTAGTTCTGTTGACTCTACTTTCAATCCAGTTCTCTCCTCTGCTTCCACACCATCAGCCTATCTCTTATAGCCTGAATTGTAACAATGTCCTCCTAATTGGTCTCCCTACTTCCACCCTTGCACACCCTGCAGTCTATAGACAGCAGAGTAGCCAGAATGAAATTGTAGAACTATAAATCAAATTGCTGCACACTGGCTGGCTGGTTAGCTCATTTGGTTAGAGTGCTGCCTTGGGACACCCAAGGTCAAGGGTTTGGATCCTCATACCAGCCAGCTGTCAAAAATAAACAATTGTTGCATGCTTAGACCCTTCCAGTGGCTCCCCAGGACCTCAGGGCCTATTCTCCTATTGGGATCGCTTGGGGGACAGTTCAGACACAGCTTCCCTAACAGGACATGTGGCCCCCAGGGATGGAGGGTCTGAGGCACTTAGCCCTTCTATTCTTTTTTTTTTAAAGATGACCAGCAAGGGGATCTTAACCCTTGTCTTGGTGTTGTCAGCACCATGCTCAGCCAGTGAGCTAACCGGCCATCCCTATATAGGATCTGAACCCGTGGCCTTGGTGTTATCAGCACCTCACTCTCCCGAGTGAGTCACGGGCCAGCCCAGCCCCTCTATTCTAAGCAGAGCTCTCATTGATTTTTTTTTTTCTTTTATTTGTAGATACTGCTCCTAATGAGAAAATCTCCTTGATTCTTTTCTTCTTTTTTTTTTTTTTTTTTGGTGGCTGGCGAATACAAGATCCAAACCCTCCTTATAGAGCATTTGCACATTGAGTCTTGTAGGATCCTCCCAACAGCCTGATTGAAGAGACAGGGCAGGAATATCCCCATTTTATAGATGAACAAACTAAGACAGAGAGGGGAGGAGACCTATTCAAGGTCACTCGAAAAGTGGCCAGAGACAATAGGTAAATAGACAAAAAGTTGTGATACATCCAAGCTCAGCAATAAAAGGAATGGATTCAACAATATGGATAAGTCTCAAATTAATGATGTTAGTGAAAGAAGCCAGATGAAAAAGAGTACATGTGCATGATTCCATTTATATAAAAAATACAAACAAATCTATAGGGACAAAACAGATCAGTGGTTCCCTGAAGACAGCAGGATTGGGCGGGTGGGTGGGAGTTCTGGGGGAGAAGTAGGCTGGGATTACCAAGTGAAGTGAGGAAACTTGGGGATGGCGGATGTGTTCACTGTCTTTACTGCCTTAACTGTTTCACAGCTGTTTACTGTGTCAAACTTATCAAAGTGTACACTGAATATGTACAAGGTATTACACATATGTCAATTATAGCTCAAAAAAACAACAGAACACTCATTCTCACTGTGGCTCCTGAGCCCCCAAGTTCTGCTGTCTCCTTTCATAAATGGAAGGGTCCTTTATGACCATATGGGGCTCCCAATCCCAGGGTGGGGGTCAGGCTGGGATGGTAAAGGGACCTGTGGGTTCCAAAGGCATCGTGTTTTCCATCATGTAGAGTGGTCTTCTGTGTTGGAGTCAGGGAATCTGATGCCTGGTCCTCCCACACGTAAACGTCAGGATCCTGCATTTATCGTTTGACATACTTCATGTTACGTGGTCTTCAAGATTATCACTGTTTTGCACTTCTTAATTTCTTTATGCATATGCTCACCTCATACATACCCCCCTCATATCAATACAGAAGTGTGCCTTATAGTCATGCTTTGCTAAAGTGCAGCCCCCATTTTCTTCTTCTATTTTGTTGATTCCCCCCTTGTTCATATCAGGAACATCTATCTATCTATATTTTCATGTCCATATTTGGGAGTTTTCTTTGTTTTACAGAAAATGGTTTCCATTGTATGTATTTTTTTTTCCTTTTTGTCTTTTTTCATGACCGGCAACGGATCGCAACCCTCAGTGTCGCGCCGGGACCGGCAACGGGATCGCAACCCTCGGTGTTGCTCCCTGCACCTCGCTCAGCCAGTGAGCGGGAACCGGTCTCTATGTGGGATCCGAACCCTCGGCGGGAGCGCTGCCGCACTTCCCAAGCGGCGCACTGTAGCAGTGCGCCACCGGGCTGGCCCCCATTGTATGTATTTTTAGCTGCCTTTTCCCCACACCTTCTGCCAAAGTTCTAATCCATTTGTAAAGGTCATGTCATGTCCCAGGGTGTATTTTCCCCATTATTCAGTCATTCCTCAGCTGGGTTCCTCTTTGTTTCTGGGTTTTGGCCATTCAGTTTTCTTGAAAGATTTTATTTACTGATTTATTGAGGCAGCTGGCCGGCCGGTAGGGGAATCTGAACACTTGACCTTGGTGTTGTTGGCACCGCACTCTAACCAGGTTTGTGACTGGCCAGGCTTATTGTTTTATTTTTTACATATGAGTCTCTAATCCGGTTGGAATTGTTATCAGCTGATATATTTTTATTTCCCTCTAGGTGGCGAACCAGTTAGGCCCCCCTTGTTAAAAATCCACCCTTTCCACACTGAATTGAACTGCTGTTTCAGCCATACGTTCCCTTCTTATATATAGGGTGCCTTGTTTCCAAGTTCTCTTCTTTTCCACAGGGCCTTTTGTTTCCCTTCCTGGACCATTGTCACTTTGTCCTGACTCCTCATTCTTCTTCACAGTTTTCTTGGCTATTCTAGACATTCCTTCTCACATGTGAATTTGAGGATTATTTTATTTCCTTCAAAAACACAAAAACCCTGTTAGTATCCTGGATCCTAATGGATTCTAATGCGTCAAATTTATGTATTTTGAGAAAACTGATTTATTCATGATATTAAATCTTCCTTTTCAGGCTTATTTTTAGTCAACAAATACTGGATTTTAGGCATGGAGTTAAAGCAGTGAACAAAACTGATAAAATTCCCTGTGTCTTGAAACGTAAATTAGAACAAGCCTTGTCTTTCCATTTTTTCAGATCTTATTTAGTGTCTTTTAATAAATTTGGGCTCTAAATTTGGTTGAACTTAACCTGCAAGAACCTAGAGGAAACCTAAACGGGGAGTTTTAGGGTGAGGAATGATTTGGCTTCATGTCTGCTGGGTATAATTGACAGTGTGGGCAAGACACTGGGTTCCAGACCCCAAGGAAAGCAAGATGGTGGGCACCATTCCCAGCCATACTTTTATTATTATTTGCCAGTAGTTGATGGCAAATTGGTTTATGATATTATTTTTTATACTATCTTTAGTTTTTAGTATTGTGTATCCTGAGATTAATAAAATGGATTGAGGAGCTTTCCATTTTTTTCCTTGATTTTGAATTCAATAACTATTATATATACGCACAAATTATTTTATATAAACTATTAAAGTTTAAATAACTTTGGAATTACTTGTCCTTAAAAGCCTCGCTATTCAAAATGTGATCCATGGACCAGCAGCACCAGCATCGCCCGGAAGCAGGGACATTTTTCAGAGTACAGCATTATAGGCCAGTTTCCCCAGACTGTGATATGGTGTTGACCACCTGTGATGGGCCCAGAAGACCTGGATGAGGCCTGGAAGCACTCTCTTTTGGTAGTGGGGGGTATGGATGAGGGGCTGGTGCATTCTGTGGGGCTGTAAGGGCTGGAAGTGGCCTTCTCCAGCTGAACATTATTTCCCCACCACGTGGGGAGGGTCTTAGGGTTTCAGCTTAACTTGCTCAGTCCAAACCTGCCCATTTTCCAACCCCACTCCAGGGTCACTCCCTGCAGCATCCCCCTCCCCCTCCTCTCACCCACCAGTGGGTGGTACCCAGGGTTTAGGTGGCAAGGGCATTGGAGTTTGGACTGTAGGCAAGTGGACCAATTTTCTTGAGACTAGATTTCCTCACTGAAAGTTGCAGATGGTGTGTGCAACTTGCAAGGCAGTTCTGAGAACTAAGTAAGAGACTCTATGGGAAGATGGCTACTGTCATTTTTTTTTTTTTTTTTAAAAGGATGACCGGTAAGGGGATCTCAACCCTTGGCCTGGTGTTGTCAGCACCATGCTCAGCCAGTGAGCGAACCGGCCATCCCTATATAGGATCCGAACCCGTGGCCTTGGTGTTATCAGCACCGCAGTCTACCGAGTGAGCCACGGGCCGGCCCAGATGGCTACTGTTATTAATGGAGAAGGGTCCTTGGCCTCTCTGGGACTATTACTTTAAAAGCCCATTTCCTCAAGGAGCTCTACACCGTAGCCCTGGAATGAGTTTTCACTAAATTGTTTGTGTAGCAAAGACTCTTGAAGGAGCATGCTAGTGAGACAAAAAGGGCATTCATCCATTCACCAAGTACTTACCAAGCAACTACCAGTGTACCAGGCTTTATTCTTGGGGCTTGGGACTCATCAGTGACCAAGACAAAAGGTTTGCTGGTGGACCAGATTGGGTTGTGAGAGAGAGCAAGGAGCCAAGTTGCCTTCAGCTGACGGGGTGGGTTGCAGGAAAGGCAGGTTCAGAGGGAAGATACACCCTTTGGACATCCAAAGGGACATGTCCAGGAGGCAGTCTCATATGCAGGTCTAGGATTCAGGGAGAGGTTCTGACTGGAGCTTTGCCATAAAGTTAAGGGCATAAAGGAAATAAGGCCATTGAAGAGGCTGGGGCAGATTACTCTGCCTTCCTGAGCCTCCAGGCCTGACCTCTGATGGCCTCTGTCCCCATTCTCAGTTTCTCTCCATGGCCTCTGCCCTCAGTGAGTCTGTGCCCCCACAACCTCCCACCCAGGGCCTGCCTCATTGGTCTCCTCACCCCAAGTCCAGCCAGTCCAGCATAACACTTTATTCATTCACTTATTCACTTAATCTTTTATTTCAGGAACATTTTATTGAGCTGCTCCCATGGTTCTCACTCAAGGGTGGTCTGACCTCCTTGGAGGTGTCTGGATATGTGAAAGGGGTATTTGGTTGTCACAGTGACTGGGCAGGGAGCAGGGGTGCTAGGGGCCTGCACAAAAGGAACTGCCCTCCCAGAATGCCTCACTGAGAAACTCATTCCACAGCCCCCTGCTGCTGGCTCAGGAGGGCCCAGCTATGAGTAGACACAGTGCTGTCTGAGGACTGTGAGTAAATAGATAAAGGAAGAACACTGCTGCCTGGGAGAGCAGGGAGGCTTCCTGGAGGAGGCGACTTTTCAGCTGTGCCTTCAAGGATGAGTAGGATTTACAGACACAGGACGGGGCAGGAATTCCAGGCAGTGGGAAGCAGGTGTGTAAAGGCAAAGGAGTGCAGATGGGCTCAGAGTCTTGGGAGCCCTCTAAAAGAGGGCAGCCCTGGATGTGTAGAAAAGGCAGTGCTGAAGACAGCTGAGGGAGGTGGACAGGTGGGGAAGAGGAGGTCATCGTCATGGGATGCGGGTCTCCCCTCCTTTTTCCAGCCCTAGAAATTCCTCAGGATGTTGGCGATGATGTCAAACTTGGCTTTCTCATACAGGTCCCTGACCACAGGTGGCAGCTTGGTGCTCTCAGCCTTTGGAGGGGCTGCCTCAGAGGACCCAGCAGAACGCCTCATCCGGGGGACCTGCTAAAGCAGTCATCGTCATTGATTGACCCCCTTTTCTGTCCCACCTGTGTCCCCTCCCTCAAGGCTCGGATGAAGAGACTAAGGCACAGCCAGGGAGGGTAGTGAGAGGGCTGGAGGTGGCCCCTGGGCAGGCCTGGACTCTGGGACTCATTTCCAGGAGGCTCCATCTCTGGCTCCTTTTTTTCCAAATGTGGGATTAGGGGGAGGGGGAGTTTCCAAGGGATCTCTTGGGGCCAGAGCCCAGGGCCCAAAGTAGAGCCAGTGTCCTCAGAGCACCGAGTAACCCTCCCAACAACCCCCAACGCCGACTCCTCTCCTCACCTCCTGCCAACCGACTAGCAATCATGAAGATCTAGCCCCTCTTCGCACTCTACAAGCCTCTCGCCTCCCCACAACTTGCGTTGAGAAGGGCTTGATAGAGCCCCTTTTCCAAAGGAGGACACTGAGGCTCTGCTCTCTAAGTCAGTGGCCCAGGCGGCGGCACCTCAGTGGTCGGGCGGTGACCAAGGGGGAGCCGCCGCGAGAGGAATGGGTGGGGGGCCACGGCGGAACTTCGGGCAGCGGTGGGGAGGCGCGGCCGCTCCGCCGCCGGAGGAGGAACCGGGCGGGAGACGCGGTCCAGGGCGCACGGCGGCCGGGAGGGGAGGGCTGGCCGCCGGCTCCGCTTGTCGGGCCGAGGCTCACCTCTGGCTCGCGCCCACCGTTCCTGTCGCAGCCTAGGGCCAGGAAGCGCCAGCGCCGCCTCGTGACGAATTCGCCGGTGCAGATTCGCTCCTCCTGCGGGGGAGTGGAGACGGGCTGGAAGTGTCCGGGCCACCCTCCCCGAGAGCGGCGAGGGCTGCCCGGGTCCCCCGGGTGAGGCCGAGCCGCGCCCGATCCCAGGTCCCTGGCTGCCCCGAGGGCCGTGCAGACCCCCTGTAGGGAACTCCACAACCCGCCCTGGGGTTCTCCCTAACGCGTTCTCAAACCAGAGATGCAAATCAGAGCCAGGAGAGGCGGTCCCTGCCTGGGAAGGACCAGAGCAGACTAGATGCGCACCCATTGAAATAAAGGACGTCCATGTATATGATTAAATAGGAAAAGGCTTCATGAATCAGCGTGTCCAGAGGAAACCATATATGTTTAAAATATACAAGTGTGCATAAAAAAAGATACAGAGGATGGTACATCAAAGGTTGATGTCTGTCCTGTGTAGTGGGGTTGCAGGAGATTTTTATTTTACTTTGCTTCTGTACATTTTTAAAATTTGCTATAATAAAGTGTTATTCTGATTTTAACAAGCAGTGATCTCTAGGTGGGTTATGGTCACGCTTTGCTCTTTTTTATATTTAGTAATTTTTTTAGCATGCTTTGCTTTTATAACAGGATTTATAATAATTTATAGTTAAGAAAAAGCAATAAGGAAAAATCTGATTTCTATTTTATTTTATTTATTTATTTATTTATTGTCCTTTTTTGAGACCGGCCGCACCACGCTCAGCCAGTGAGCGCTGTGAGCGCACCGGTAATCCCTATATAGGATCTGAACCCGCGGCGGGAGCGCTGCTGCGCTCCCAGCGCCGCACTCTCCCGAGTGTGCCACAGGCTCGGCCCAATTTCTATTTTATTTTATTTTATTATTAACCTTTAGAAGTAAAATGTGTCCTTTTTTGTCACAGTTTAATGCTTTTTTAATTTTTTAATTTTTTTTTTTCTTTTTTGTCTTTTTCTGTGTCCGGCAACGGATCGCAACCCTCAGTGTTGCCCTGGTACCGGACAGGGACCAGCAACGGGATCGCAACCCTCGGTGTTGCTCCCGCGCCTTGCTCAGCCAGTGAGCGGGAACCGGTCTGTATGTGGGATCCGAACCCTTGGCGGGAGCGCCGCCGCGCTTCCCAAGCGGCGCACTATAGCAGTGCGCCACCGGGCCGGCCCCATTATTATTATTATTATTATTTTTATTTTTTTATTTTATTTATTTATTTATTTATTGTCCTTTTTTGAGACCGGCCGCACCACGCTCAGCCAGTGAGCGCTGTGAGCGCACCGGTAATCCCTATATAGGATCTGAACCCGCGGCGGGAGCGCTGCTGCGCTCCCAGCGCCGCACTCTCCCGAGTGTGCCACAGGCTCGGCCCAATTTCTATTTTATTTTATTTTATTATTATTTTTTTTTTCTTTTTTGTCTTTTTCTGTGTCCGGCAACGGAT